GATATAAGGTATCCGATTAACCTATTTTTTTTAAATAAATAATCGGTGGCGACTCCAATCCATTTAATCTAAGTCGAAGCCCAATTCCGTGGCCCAACCGAAAGACGGTTGCGACAATATGTTTTAATATATTATTATTTATTTATTTATGTACATTTTATGTACGAATTGTTTTATATCTTAAGTGATTGTCTTAATATTTTCTTATATATTAGATGTAAAGGTTACAATATATTGCAATATGTACATATTTAGTTAATGTTTTATGTGATTTGACACAACATTCGAACGAAAAATTGAACTTGAAATAAGTAGAGTTTATTTTTATATAAATGATAATTAATTCGTTTTTATTTTAATTCAAATGATGCAATGCATGTTTCTTTAAATAATAAGTTATTTTACGCTATTACTAATTCAATTTACATTCGATTTGTGTTTTTTGATAACAGTAAGGAGGGGACATTTCTCGTATAAAGGAGAAAAAGATAGGATAGCCTTCACATTAGGGGATGCAAATTCCATGATTTATTCTCAAATTAAGGAGTGTTTTCTAATAATTAATTCGAAATAAGTTAATTAATATTCAATAAAATGATCACACTTTAAATATTGATTCGAATTTTTTAATTTTCACCACGACAACATACAAGCAATTAGGTATCAATTTTTGGGCGTTGTAGGAGTGTTAATTTTTTCTCTCGCGTAATTGTCTCTCGAATATTTTAAAATGAATCTTTGATAACACATATCAATTTTTGTCTTAAAAATGATTTTTTAAAAAAAAAATTAAAGTGCGTTTTTAGGTGTTCGGCTTACTTAGTCCAATGATCGATGGTGACTCTCAAATCAATTTAATCAACATAAACACAAATTTAATTTTCTAAATAAGTTGTAAATTCGAGGTTTTCATTGAAAATTTATCCGTTCGTAAAAAAAAAAAGCGTTACGACAATGGAGTTTATTGATTTTACACCTTTTCTACTTGGAAGAAACAAGAGGAGTTTATAGTTTGTGTGTTAGGCTCGTTATTATATGTATGTGTGTCAAAACAATATTTTTTTGACAAATCCGGTTTGCCACTCATTGTGATTGCTAAAAATAATTGTTGTTGATTTGTAAATATAATAATTTTGCGGTACTGGTTTTGAAAATATAATGAGTTCGATGTTGATATATAAAAATTCATAAAGCCATCGGAATATTGGACGTTAGATTTCGATATCTAAAAGATTGATATCGATGCTCTTTTTTTATGTCAACAGACTTATCATCTCTGAGTTATTAGTGGTTTAAATCATCTATGCTAATAAGCTTTGTTTTTATTATTATTGATAAATGTAAATTGATTTTTATCTTTGACAATCGAGTAAATGTATGGTTCCTCTGATTTAATTCTGATTAATTAATATGATATTGGTGTTATTGTGTTCGATTAAACCGAATTAAGTGTATTTCATTCAACCCTAGTAGGAAGGGCCCAAGCACAAGTAGACAAGTACGTTAAATCCCAAACAGTCAGGAGTCGTAAAAGGTTATCAATGAATGTTCAAATGATGATGTTAACAAACTAAAATCTTCAAATCCATATTTATTTGGTCTACTTGATTATGAGTTCATTTTGAAATGCTAGTATTAAACTTAATTATTTTTAAGAAAATAACTCCATTAAAAAAATTATTTGCAATAATCACAATAAAATTAAATAATTTGTCAAACTCATTAACGTCATCACATTAACAAATAATTTTTAAGAAAATAACTCTATTAAAAAATTATTTGCAATAATCACAATAAAATTAAATAATTTGTCAAACTCATTAACGTCATCACATTAACAAATAATTTTTAAGAAAATAACTCTATTAAAAAATTATTTGCAATAATCACAATAAAATTAAATAATTTGTCAAACTCATTAACGTCATCACATTAACAAATAGGCTTAAATGAACTTACTTTTATTTCTTATGGTTTTAAAACTTATAGTCAGATAAATTTAACAACGTTTCTTAAAATATTATAGGCAAAAAGGGATAAGAGGATCATGTACTTTTGAAAAAAAATGAAAAAAAAATAATATGGCCCTCATATTATTTTTTATTTCAATGTGACATTCAACTCAGAAAATAAATTCAATGTGACCATTTGATCAATGTTTTTTTGTTGTTTTAGCGTTACGGTGCTGATGTGGTAGTTCAGTGTACTGACTTGGTAGTCCACGATACTGACGTGGCAGTCCATCTGCCATGCTTGAGTTACTAATTTAGCCTGTTTGTCATGTTATCCACCACGTTGTCAACTACTGTGAACTGCCATGTCAACACCGTGTACCTTCACGTCAGTACCGTAACAATCAACGGCGAAAAACATTGGTTAAAGGGCCATATTGTGCTAATTTTCAGAGTTGAAGGGTTACTTTGAGAGAAAAATAATATGAGGGCCATATTGTTTTCTTTAAGTACATGGATCTCTAATACCTTTTTGTCAATATTATAATATTTTATGTATTAAAAAATGAAAATGAATTCTTATCAATTTTACCCTTATATAAATGAATTCTTATATATTACAAATTTTAAAATAAATCAAATCGAAATAGGTTATTAGAACAAGAGAAAAACTTAAGTTTAGTGATGATTTTGAAAATAAAATAGTTTGATAACCAAAACTGAACCGTAAAAGTATTTGAGTGGCTAAATATATAATTTACCCTTATTTTTTTAACGAAGTAACATTTTGGGACAAATGATGTAACGGTTTAAACTTCATAAAATAAAACGTTTCAGAAAATATTTTAGGGGACAACTCTATACAAACAATATACTTTATTTAAAGGACAATGATGCATCTAAGCCGAAGAAATACAACAATTTTAGCGTGAAAGTTTTTTGTGTCGATGTTTCCTTAAAACCACAATGCAAACAACTTAAACAAAGGGTTTATACTTTAATTTCAAGTTTCTAACCAACCTTACCTAAACTTGGGCAAGAAAATACAGCTTTCCCAAGTAGAAACTTATGGTTCAACCCATTTTTTTTCTTTACTTTTACACTAGTTTTGAATGTCTCTTATTATAAACATGACATCGTTATATGTCTAGGACCAAACATGAAATTTTATAATAGAAAGCAAATTTATAAAAATTTAAAAAATGATGAACTTATAAAAGCTTAGGTAGGAAAAAAAAGATTCTCAATAAAAAAATATATGTAGAAATTTAAAATTTTTAGATTTTCACCCGCTCTCCCTCAATCCATCTATGATTATATTGATCAAAACTATATCTTTATTAATAAATTTTAATGTTCGAAACTCTTTTATATATAATATTTAGTTAAAAACTTTTTATTTTCTTAAAAGTTGACATGAAATGTCAATGTGAATAGAACATGAAATTTGACAATTTAATGACGAAAATATTAGTCATAAAAAATGAGAAAAAGTGTATAAAATCTATTTAATTTTACACTATTATAAGTGAATTAGAAGGTCTATAAAATATTAGTCAAAATATTAGTCATTAGTTGAACTAGATCTTACCCTGCAATATTTAAATTTAAATATTTAATCAAATATTTGATAGCAACAAACTCCATGAAAAAAGGTTATTATGACAAAGACAAACTATATGAACCCTAAATGTTGGTGGTGACAAAACTAAAAACAAACCCTAACATAGAGCAACTATTTTATTTTATTTTGTTTTGTGATCAACATAGAGCAACTATAAAGACAATGGCAATGGACATATATATAAGAGAAGATATCTCTGTGGATGTGTTAGAGAAGATCTCACCAAACCTGTTTGATTCCTAATCACTCACACAAAGACATGTAGATGAGTTAGAATTAAAACATGACCATGCTGAAATTGATTGATATGTTAATATTTAAATATTTCAACACGTATTTAACAATAATTTTATATTTAACACATATTAATAATAATATTAAAATTAAGAAAACTAAAAGATGTGACCCCAAATGCATGATCTAGATGGATATGGGTTAAAGAAATCGTTGTTATTTATTTAGGTCACGAGTTTGAACACCAGTAGTTACAGCAGAGTGATTGAACATTCATTGTTAAATGATTGAGAGTATTTAAAACAGAAATTATTTTGTAATTACCTTATCTTAATAAAAATAAATAAATGTAAATATACAATTTAAAATTTGTAAATATACATTTCTTAAAATACATTAGAAATTTTCTAGAAAAATAGGTTTTAAAAATTCAATTGAAATGTATTTGTGGAAAATTTTAAAATACTTTTTGGGAGACACTGTTATATCAACATTTTTAATATCCACTATATGAAAGGGGGGGGGGGGGGAAGGGCTCAAGTAATCCAAGTTAGTAACCTAATCAAGGGTAAACCAATGGCAGCAGTCGCCATTAACTTTAGGTTCACATCAATGACGTAATTATGAAAGGTAGAACTATTTTGTTAGTCCCTATACTACATGAAAGCTTTGTAGTAGTCCCTGCACTCTAATGTGGTCGTTTCTATTTTTTTCCTAAAATTTTTGAGTTTTCAGTCTTGAGTAACTAGTAACTGTAAAATTTGTTAAGTTAAATTTTACTATTAGTCTTTTTAATAATGAAAGCTTATAACTTTAATTCCTTTTTTTCTAATTTAATAATTTTATTCCCTTTAATTTGATTATATTATTTGTTCGATTCATGATTGAAACTTTAAAAGTTTGAAAAGCACGGAGAAGTACAGGGACTGATTATGGAATTTTACCTTTGATCAAAATCTTTTGAAAATGCTTTTCTCGTCCATAAATTTTGACCAAGTTGGTGAAGTTAAGTAATCAATCCTGGTATATTAAAGTGGCGTATAATCCTTTATTCTTTGCAGATACATCAAACTCATTTCGTAGGCTAAAGGCAAAGAAAGAAACAAAGTATATAAGAGAAAGTAGTTGTGAAACTGATAAACTGCCTTGTTCTTCAATTAGAGAATTAGTCAATCCAAACCATACCTTCCTAACCTTAAATTCTCACAATCCTTTCATTTTCTCTCCAAAATCCCAGATTTCAATTGACATTTGAACCTTAAAAAACAAGGGAGAATTCAGCAAGAAAGAGATGGCTATGGAGTCTGTTGTTTCTGAGCTTGAAGGGACTCTTTTGAAGGACAAAGACCCTTTCTCGTACTTCATGTTGGTCGCATTTGAAGCCTCAGGTTTAATTCGGTTCGCATTGTTGCTGTTGTTCTGGCCGGTGATTCGGCTTCTCATCGCGTTGGGAATGGATGATGCTGGGTTGAAGTTGATGCTCTTTATCGCGACGGCGGGGCTTCGAGTTTCGAAGATCGAATCGGTGTCTAGAGCTGTTTTGCCTAAGTTTTATATGGATGATGTAGATATGGAGGCTTGGAAAGTGTTTAGTTTGTATGACAAAAGAGTTGTGGTGACCAAATCGCCTAGGGTTATGGTGGAAAGGTTCGTGAAGGAGAATTTACGAGCTGAAGAGGTTATCGGTAGCGAGCTCCTTGTGAACCGGTTCGGGTTTGTTACGGGTTTCGTTGATGGTGATATCGACTCCATCTCGAGTAGAGTCGCCAAGTTGTTCATAGACGACGAACCTAGTTTAGTACTCGGAAGAGCTACATCAAGTTTTAGATTCTTCTCTTTATGCAAAGTAAGTAATAACACGCAATGTGTTTAAATCCATTGCATTTGATATCTTGTAAATATTTGATACTAACAATTAGGCTCTTTAACATGCAGGAACAAATGCGTCCACCGTTTATCACAAACGAACCCCTCCACGACCACCAACTCCTCCGTCCGCTACCAGTAATCTTCCACGATGGCCGCCTCGTGAAGCGACCGATGCCCTCGACCGCTCTATTAATCCTCCTGTGGATGCCATTGGGCATCATACTAGCAATCATTCGAATTATGGTCGGTGTATTACTTCCAATGCAAATCATCCCCTATGTGTCCCGTTTATTTGGTGGTAAAATCATCGTCAAAGGCAAACCGCCATTGCCCATCTCCGGAAGCAACTCTGGGGTCCTATTCGTTTGCACACATAGAACTTTAATGGACCCTGTGGTCTTATCCACCGTGCTCATGAGAAAAATTCCGGCAGTCACATATTCGATATCAAGATTAACTGAAATCCTATCACCTATACCAACGGTGAGATTAACCAGAATTAGAGAAGTCGATGCCGAGAAAATCAAACATGAACTATCCAAAGGTGACCTAGTAGTTTGTCCAGAAGGAACAACATGTAGAGAACCCTTTTTATTAAGGTTCAGTGCCCTATTTGCCGAATTAACCGATCGAATAGTCCCGGTTGCAATGAATTATAGGGTAGGGTTCTTCCATGCAACCACGGCCGGTGGGTGGAAGGCTTTGGATCCGATCTTCTTCTTCATGAACCCTAGGCCGATCTACGAGGTGACGTTCTTGAACCAATTACCGGTGGAAGCTACATGTTCATCGGGGAAGAGCCCGCACGACGTGGCCAACTATGTGCAAAGAATCTTGGCCGCTACATTAGGGTTTGAGTGCACAAATTTTACAAGGAAAGATAAATACAGAGTATTGGCTGGGAATGATGGAACAGTATCTTACACTTCGTTTGTTGATCAAGTTAAGAAGGTGGTGAGCACTTTCAAACCTTTTCTTTCATGAAGAAAAAGAATAAGATTTTTTTGGTTAATTTATTGGAATAAATTTAATTAATTATGAGTGTTTTTAATTGTTGTTGTAATGGTTATATTTTTTTTAATTTATGGAATTGTTGAATAAATTTGTAAGGATAATTAATGTTATTAAGAATATGGGTAACTTACATATTTCATCACTCAAAGCCATTTTTACTCCTATTTTGGTCACTAAAGTTTAAAAATTTAATTTACTCATTAAACTTTTGATTTACTCCTAGTTTGGTCATTTGAGTGTTAAATCATAAATGAAAGGGTGGCATGCAGTCACATATATACGTATACTATTTTTATTGACATGGAACCCATGTGTCATCCAAATCATTTTCCCTTATTTTTTTTCTTCCTCCAAAGATGAAATTCTATATTTTCATATTTGTGTCATGCCGATGATATAATTATGTTCCTTTGGCACCCTCTCTTACCACTCAAGATATCGACGTATTCATCTCATCTTCGTCTACCACAATAAAAAAATAATTAGATTATCACTTTAACTATAGTAACTATTTGGATCTATCCATAATTATCAATTTAGAGGATTAAATTATGTCAAATTAACAAGGATTAAATTAAAAAAATAGCATAGCATGGGGACACTAATCATAGTTAGAACTTGAATTTATTATTTACCTACTTTTGCCCATAGTCAACAGCTAGATCGCCTGTTTCAATTGCAATAAATTTATTGTTTGGTCCAACAAACGTATTATCATATTTCTTTAAATAATTTTTTCATATAAAACCGTGTTACCGTGCCATAGAGTTGGGCCATCAAGAAATTTCTTTTAAAAAATCGATAATTAATTTGTATTTATATAAACTAATTTTAATCCAATTAGTTTAATGATCATGCAATTTAAATATTATTGTTTATAGTTATCTGTTGGAACTTAGCAGTAAAGAAACTCGATCTTATTAAAAAAATCCTTAAATTTTGGTCAATGTCATAAAAGCAAAAGTCGGATATAGTAGAAAATAAAATAGACCATGCAAATAGCTAGTGGTGATTCTTTATATTAAGCATACTCTTTCTTTGGCCAATGAGCATAAAAAAACTTTGAGAAAGGGTTTCTTTTAAGAGGATAAAAAAGAGGAAATGACTTTGAAAAAAGGTTTTTTTTTTTCCTTTTCTTTTAGCTAAGAGACTTTGGAAAAGAGGGATGATAAAGATTTTCTTTAAGTGACATTTACTTTCTTTGAGCATGAAAGAATTCACTTTATTTCTTTTGGTAAATAAAAGGAGAAAAGAAACACTTTGTAAAATCCGATGGCACCAAAATAATCCTAAGCTACGATACTATTTAGAATATATATAATTCTAAAATCACTTTAAAATTTAATTTTAAATTCAAAATTCGTGAAATCTCAAATCACTATTAAGTATTTAACGACGTAATCACTAGAATAGAACCAAATCAAAAAATTCAATGAGTAAATTAAAAAAAAAACTTAACTTTGAAGATCAAAATAGGAGTAATAAAATAATTGAGTGATGAAATTTATAATTTATCATAGAAACATAAATAAAAATAGTAAAATTTAAAAAAAAACAATTTTATCCCCTTATCCAAAGAAATTACAAAACCAATTTTACTTGACTAATCCCATATTTGTTTGAAAAAAACAGTCAATTAAAAATTTCCACGTAAGCAAAATCACAGCGTAGCCATCACGCTAACGCGGCTTTTCTTGTTAAATCTGAGCCTTTAAAATAGTTTTCTTTCCTTCAGTTCCTACACAAAAAATTCAAATCTTTCCTTCTTTCCTCTAATTTCTTTTCTTTCTTCACTTCTTTTGTGATTGTGTGTTCCCTCAGATCTGTAAACGGAAAAAATGGCGATGACGACGTCGTATTGGTGTTATCATTGCAATCATGTCGTCCGGCTTTTGAACCACGGCACCGTCAGTTGCCCCGACTGCTACGGCGGCTTCGTCGAAGAGATCGATAACAATCACGTCGGAAGTAATAGACTCACGCCACCGGCGATGTACACTTATCCTAACTCCGGCACCACCGTCTTCCGCCGTGGCCGACGTAATGGCGGCAATCGTTCTCCTTTTAATCCTGTTATCATGTTACGCGGCGGAGCAGCTACATCTGTTTCTGCCTCGCCTTCATCCGCCTCCGGGGGAGATTCTACTGTTGAACAGAATGGGAGAAGTTTCGAACTTTATTACGACGATGGGGCCGGTTCGGGTCTTCGGCCGTTACCGCCGAGTATGTCGGAGTTTCTTTTGGGTTCCGGGTTCGACCGTTTGATCGATCAGTTATCGCAAATGGAAATCCACAACACCGGGCGTAACGTGCAACCGCCGGCGTCGAAAGCGGCGGTGGAAGCAATGCCGACGGTGGAAATAAAAGAGACTCATATTCGCGACGAATTATGCTGCGCCGTTTGCAAAGAACAATTCGAATTAGGCACCAAAGTTCGAAACATGCCTTGCGATCATTTGTACCATTACAACTGTATACTCCCCTGGCTTCAATTGCGGAACTCGTGTCCCGTTTGCCGCCACGAATTGCCAACCGCCGACGGCGAAGAAGGAGGCGAAACCGGTGGTGGGTATTCGAATTCGTCGGAGGAGGTTCCGGTGGGGTTGACTATCTGGAGATTACCCGGTGGAGGGTTCGCTGTGGGAGATTTTCAGGAGGAATAAGAGGAGGCGGTGGAGAGAACGGAGAGTTCCCGGTGGTTTACACGGAGGTGGACGGTGGTTTTAGCGGCGGAGGGCTTCCACGGAGGGTTTCATGGGGGAATCGAGGCAATAGGGGAAGGGAAAGAGGAGGGGTTTTCAGAAGATTTTTGGGTGTCTTGTTTGGGTGTTTTAGTGGGTCAACTTCTTCTAATTCTACGTTAGTTTCAAGGTAATTTGAAACCCCAAAATTATGATGAAGAAAAAAATCCCAGATCTTTTGTAAATATGTAGGGGAAAATTGAAATGGGGTTTTCTCAATTAACCATATTTTTGTCTAAGAACTGAAGAATTTATGAATTGAAAATGATATTGATGTGTATGCAATAATCGGGTCTAATTATACTAAACTTAAAAGGAAAAATCATTTCTGGTATCAACAATGTATGATGTAGTGTTCTAATTGGTATTACAAGTCAATGATATTGTTTCGATGGACGTTTTTATTCCGTCGATACATTGATCATGTTATTTATTCATCAAACAATAAAGTACATGAATCATGCGATTTACTTGGTTATATCATTCTACTGTTGTAAAATGTATAGTCGTATTCGTACGGGCACAGTAATATCCAAAACGGATTTTGCTGGGGTATCCATTCAAACTAAAGAAAAATGTTTATTACCATTTACAGACGTACAAATAAATTTCTAGTTATTATAATATTAATATTAAATCTTATGTAAACAATTTTCTGTTCTTTGATCGATTAATGATTTGGGGTGCTGGAGTTGCCTTTTGCTGGTGTTGGCGTAGAGGGAGGTGGCTATTGATTTGGGGGGGGGGGGGGGGGCTATCATAGGGCCTAGGTTTAGACTCGGGTTGGGCCTTCTGTTTGGGCCTTGAGGCCCGATTATATTTGTAAAGGGTTTGAGGGTTCTATTTTGGTTTGGGGTCCGGTTAAATTAAAATAGAAAAAAATGGTGATCATATATATATATATATATACATATATTATGATTTATATACTACTACATCTTACTATTATTATTATTTGAAACATTGCAAGGATTCCAATTTAGTGTTTTTGCTTTAAGTTTCCAGACTACATACACAAATATAAGACAAGGGATCCCTTTGTTGTTTAGTGACCATTAGTTTTTCTTCTTCTTTAAACACAAATCATCCCTGAATTTAGTGACATCCACATTGATCAAGTTGTTTTTAGATTTTTTTTCATTCAAATTTATTTATATATCTGATAAGTTCGATCAAATTGGCTCTCAAACTTTTCTTTCAGTCAAATTATCTTGTAGACTTCGGAAACGTAACACAAATGACTCTCGAAATTAACACATTATTTTTTTATAAATATAATTTAAAACCCTCATTCTCTGTTGATAATGTCACCTCCTTAATGGGTTACGTTAATAGAATATTAAAATATTATTGATATTAATTTTAGAAATTATTTTGTGTCTAATTTTCCAAGTTTATAAGATAATTTGACAAGGTATAATGTCAAAAAAAATATTCTTAACGTTTGATTAAATAGTCAATTTGACCATTATTCTTTTATTTTTTTTGAGTATTTTGGTCTCTCAATGTTTCATTTTGGGAAAAGACTCGTCTGTCAATGGAAATCGTTAGTTAACAAATAATTAATATTCCAAAATAAGAGTCTTTTACCGTAAAGTGAAATATTGATTGTCAAAATGTTCCCAAAAAAAGAATAAGGGACAAAATAACTATTCAAACAAACGCTAGCAGTCTTTTTATCCTAAAATAAAACACTACAGACCAAAGTGCTCCATCAAAAGAATAAAAATAAAAATGATCATTTTAATAAATGTTTGGGGGCTAATTTTGATATTATACCATTTGATAAAACTTACAATTCGCAAAGACCGACTACTGCACTCTGATTTCTGGGTACTTGCCCTGCTGATTATGTTTTAGGCAAATGGTCTATAGGATTCGGTTGGATGAGGCATTTCAGTAGCAGTGGGGCAATCCAATTGGCCACTCTTCGATAGCCGGTGTTTCAGCTGGTCTTAAAGGGTCTGTTTCGAATGTCGTATGTTCTGGGCCGGTTCCGGTTTAAGTAGTACCTTGACGGCCGGATCAATGTACAGTATATTATTTGTATCTACTTTGAAACGATATATTTTTTTTTCCTCATTTAGGTTAGGGATATTTTTTAATGAGACCCATTTTGTTCTTTATTTTTTAAGTCATTAACTAATCCTACAAAAAAACAAAGTTTAAAGATTTATTAAATTATTATTCATATAAAATAAAATACTATAAAGATGTGTAAAATTACAATAAATTTATATTGTCA